GGGGGCTGAGGACGTCCCTTGGGCCCCACCCCCACCCCTGACCGCCTCCCACTCTCTGCAGAATGTGAATGAGTTGAACCAATGGCTGTCGGCCTTGCGCAAGGCCAGTGCCCCCAACCCCAACAAGCTGGCCTCCTGCCACCCCGGTGCCTTCCGCAGTGCCCGCTGGACCTGCTGCCTTCAGGCTGATCGCTCAGGTGAGGGGGCAGGGCGGGCTCAGGCTCCACCCTCCCCACCTGTCAATCAGCGGGTAACCCACCTGGGTCTGGGTCAAGTTACTTAACCTCTTTATACCTCAGTCTGCTCACGTGTGAAAAGGGGTTAATAACAGCGCCTACCTCCCAGGGTTGTTGTGAGGAATAAATCAGTCGACATAGGCAAACTGCTTAGAACACTGCCTAACATAGTGCTCATTAAGTGTGAGGTATGATTTTGTAAGCACTCACTATGCACCAAGCGCCTAGTGGTACACAGATGGGCATCAGGCTTGCTCTCAAGGAAGACAAATGAATAACCAGACAATTGTAATACAGCTTCCCAAGTGCCAAGAGGAGGCTTCTGAGACTCCAGAGAATGCCTTTGACCCAACCCCAGGGGAGGAGATCAAGGAGGGCTCCCTGGAGGAGGTGCTGCTTAAATGCAACCTAAGAAGAGTAGGATTTGGGTGGTAAAGTTGGAGACAGGGACGGGGTAAGGAAGAGGGCTGCAGGCAGGACAAACAGCGCGATTGGAGCTCGAGAGGGCCTGGATAGGAGATCGAGAGGGCGGAAGGACTGAAAAGGGTCAGTGTGGTGGACAGTGGGAGGTGGCTGGAGAAAGGTGAGGCCACTGCTCTGTTGGGTGAGGTGGAGGCGGTAGGGCTTGAAGGAAGTAGAAGGTTTGAAGAGTGATTTTAGAGGTAGACGGCAGGGTTTGGGGACAACCTGCCACGGAGGCTTCCAGAAGGGGAATGGGAGGGGTGACCGATGACGCTCTGCCCCTCAGCTGCAGGCTGCAGCCGCACACACTTTGCCGTCACCCTGGGAGACTGGAGTGACCCTCTGGATCCTGATGCTGAGACCCAGATGGTGTATCGGCAGCTGCTCCTGGGGCGGGACCAGCTCAGGTGGGTGCCCTGCCCATCCCACTTCACCCCCTATGACCAGCTGGGTTGGCCAGCTACCCACCGTGGCCTCTGCTGTTCATTTGGTCATTCTCTCCGTGTGCATCAGCTGAGCTTGTGGGGGGCGGGGGACGAGCTCATGGCGAGGACGGGAAGCACCCTCGGGCGGGCCCTAAGGCACAACTGAATCTTGGCATCTTTTAATACCTGGGGCACGAGAGATACAGGCACAGACCTTGGATGTGTCCCTTCTCCTTCCTGGCCTCAGGGTCACTGTTATGCAGTGACAGAGATGTATTCCAACCAGCAAAGACTCTCTGGGGTAGAGACCAAGACTGGGAATCAGGCACCAGCCTTGTCTTGCTCCCTGTCAACTTCCAGGATCAAATTCCTGGAGGACTTCAACATGGATTCAAGTCCGGAGGCAGACCCAGGGGAGGGCTCCGGTGCCACAGAAGGTAAAGGGTTAAGGAGGTCCCTTTCCTTGGCCTCCTCTGCCACTTCCTGCAATTTGCCAAGCACATCCCTGTGTCATCCTAGTTTCTAAGCCACCTGTTTCTAAGCCACCAACAGGCTTTGGGGGCTGCGTGTGCAGGCTCTGGTACCTTTTAGGATTCCCAGGGCACAGGGCAAACCTGGAGCCCGAGACAGCCATGGGGTGTGGGTTGTGGCAGCCTGCCCTGGCCTGGCTGAGGCCCCTCGAACCCCTTGTCTTTCTCCCAGGGGCCTGTCCTGATGCCCTGGCCCGGCAGAGAGAGGCAGCTGCCCACCTGCTGGAGGTGCTTGCAGACCTGGATCGAGCCCACGAGGAGTTCCTGCAGCAGGAGCAGGGGAAGGTGGTCCCGAGTCCCCTTAGGCCCTGAGGAGATGCTGGAGCCAGCCTGGAAGGAGGACTAGGGAGCCGCTGGGTCCTTCTCAGCATTCCCTGGCCCAAGAGCCTCCTTGTGGTGGTCCTGTACCTGCTCGATACTGTGGCTTGGAGGCGTCTGAAGACCTCCTGGTCCCATGTGCCCTAAGACCTAAACCCGGGTCATGGAAGCAGGGGGCCAGCCTTGCACTGAATGAGTCTCACTCTTTGGGTTAAGGCAGACCGAAGTGGATGGGATAAGGAACCTGACTCATTTGGCTCAGCCTGAGGTCTCGGCTCCACTGGACTGGCTTCTACGCACACTGAGGAAGCCAGTCTGGCCCTGAGCTGCTGGATACAACCGTACCTGAATTCCTGATGCCCATGTAGCCTTGTTGCCCCAGACAAGCACTAAACTGGCTCAGCCCTTCCCGTTCTCATGTCTGCCAACCCCTGTAACCTCACGCATCTTCCTGAACTCTGCCCTTGGCTGAGGGTCCTAACCATCAGCTTCTAGAAGCAGGTGCCCTCGGGAAGAACTAAGGGTGGGAGCCCAATGTGCAAGACTCAGACCCTTGGAGCCTGGGAGGCCTTGAGCCAAGCGCCTCACCCCTATTTGAACCGTATAAAATGAGGAGGGAGTGACGTTAGATGTGTGGTTTTCAAACTGGTAGAGGTTCTGCAGAGGTAGCTCGGGAGTTAGGGAAGAGCTTCTCAGACTGGCCCAAAGCTTACCCCTCTGGGGCGTCTGCTAGAAATGCAGATCCCTGGGCTCCACCCAGATCAGAATCTGATGGAGTGTGGGGGCAGAAGTCAGGACTCTTAACAAGCTGCTCCAGGTGATGTGGATGAACCTGAGATTTGAGGATCACGGGGCTGGGTGACTTTATACGTATTAGGGTTTGCTATTAGGGCTTGAGGTGAGATTTTGTTGGAGAATGAATCACAGAAGATAAAAATGTTTGGGAACGCCCAACTGGCAGAACCGGAAGGGCCTCCAAAGACTCGTTTCCGATTTTGTGTGACTAGAGGTTGAGACAGAAACAACCTGCCTGGCTGGGGAGAAGGTGGACCAGGACGTGGCGCTATCCCGTGGGTGGCCAGCAGGGGTCGCCTGGCGCCGCAGCATCGACCACAGCCACCTGGGCATCCCAAGGATGTTGCCAAGGCTGTTAAGACGCTTGTTGCAGATACTGGGATCTGTCCCTGTGTTTCCCTAGACATTCTGGCCCTCCTCCCCGAGGGCAGAGGCTGGGGCTCTGAGGTCCTGAGGGAGCCCATCGCGGTATCTCCCAGCTTTCTCCCATATTTTCCCAGAGACTCTCATCTCCCAGCCTGAGTTCCTCGTTACTAGTATTTATACCAGAGAGCACTGTGTGCATTGCCTGGTGCCCATACCTGAGAATGGAATTTTCACCTCTGCACTCTTGGGGGCTGGGACTGGAAGGGTCTGCTTCTACCACCATCAAACCCCTTGCCTGCCCCAGGATGAGAGAATTATGGGGACCCTGGCTCTCCAGCTGCCCAAGGCTGAGAGGGGGCAATGCTCCTGATGTTGTCATTTTGTTATATGCTCCTTGATGTGGCAGACCCCAGGCCCCCAGGAACAAAGCCACCCGCTCCCCCCTCCACCTTGGCAGGAAAAGACCGGGCGAGGAGAAGTAGGAGAAAGACCGTTTATTTCTCCACCCACAGTGGGACTGGTAGGTTTTCAAAAGAGCAATCGCTGGCGTCCCTTTAAATCTTGGCTGTCTTCCATCGTGGCAGCCAATCAACAGAGGCGGAGCTGGTGAGTTGCCTGGGCAACAGGCCCCTGGTTGGCCAAGACCATCAGCCACCCCGTTGCCCACTCCCAAGAGTAAGGGAAATGGACTCATTGCTTTCCGGCCTGCTTTTTAAACCTGCTGGCCTAAGCTAGGCCTCCTCGTCTCGCTCCTGAAGCCAGAAGCTCCCAGCCTTTGGATCTTGACGTTGGGAGTGATTTGGTGGAGAGGATGGGGTGGGGAGGAAAGGTGAACAGTGCCTTTACCTAGGACAGACATAAGGCCTAGGAATGGGAGGGGAGAAGGATGAAGAGACACAAGCACAAAATAAGACACCTCTAGTCCCTCTCTCGCTGNTCACGGTAGCTTATGGCAGCCCACTGCAGCAGGGGCTGCAGCCTACGCCGTCGCTGGCAACTCATGGCAGCCCAGCTCCAGGTTGAGCTGTTTTTCACCATCTTAGCTGTAGAGGGCAGTGTCACTGGCCCCCATGTGGGATCCGAACCGGGGCCTGCTGCTCAGAGCTGGCGTCCCAAGCCAGCTCTTAACCAATGCGCCACTTGGCTGGCCCAGAATCCTGTCTCCTTTATGCATCAGCTGTGTGACCTTGGGCAAGTTGCTTGACCTCTCTGAGCTTCTGCTTCCTCATCTGTAAAATGGGAGTAACGATGGTGCTTCCTTCATAGGGCTATGCCCTTGGTGCAGTGCTTGGCACAAGGCAGACTCTGAGGATGTTTGGCTAAATCTGGTCATGCAGGATTATTATTATTATTATTATTATTATTATTATTATTAATTTTATTTTTTTAAAGGAATTTTATTGGGGAACAGTGTGTTTTTCTAGGACCCATTAGCTCCAAGTCAAGTAGTTGTTTTGAGCTAGTTGTGGAGGGCGCAGCTTCTTGGCCCATGTGGGAATCAAACCGGCAACACTGGTGTTCTGAGCCTGCGCTCTCACCACCTGAGCTAACTGGTCACCCCAGGACTAGTAGTATTACTCCATTTTCCAGGTAGAGACACTAAGGCCTAGAGAGAAAAGGCCTCTGTGGCAGACCAGGATGGCCTCCTGACCCATCTCGCATTTCACTTCCCCTTGCACCACCAGTCTGTAGCCCTTGATGCCTCAGTTTACCCGGCTGAAAAGTGGGTTTGGCCCCCTCTCACCTGCTGCTCCTCTTGGTAGGATGTGAAGTACCTGGCCGTAAGCGGCTTTCTCTTCCTGCGTTTCTTTGCACCTGCCGTCCTCACCCCGAAGCTGTTTGACCTCCGGGACCAGCACGCAGATCCCCAGACCAGCCGCTCGCTGCTGCTCCTTGCCAAGGTACCAGAGCAGTGGAGTCCCCTATTCTGGGTGCTCTTAGCCAGAAAAAAGCGTGGCAGGAACAGAGCAGCGAAGAGGCCAGACCCATAGATGGCCCAAATGAGGCCCGGGGAAACCTGTCTGAAACGCCACCATTAGCCTTCCTGAGTGTGAAGGCATTCATTAAGCTAAGTTCCTTTTTTGAAATAAAACCCTACCTTTCCAGGAGGAAAGTGGGAAGCAGGATAGTAATTTACACCTTAGTACTTAATTAGACCATCCTTTGCAAAGTGGCCACATTTTGAGGTTCTGATTGGCTCTAGAGTGTGCCAATCAGACAGTCCTGGGTGGGGAGATCTGGGCTCAGGAGGGAACCGAATAATAACGGCCCTGGGGGTGCATATTTGTCCACGGGGAGGGATAGATATTGCCCAAAGCAGCTGCTGCTATGAGTCTTCTTCGCTGAGCACTGACTTGGGAGCCAGGACTCTGGGACTCTGTTCCGGATCCACACAAGGCCTTCTCCCCTCCAGCGACCTTGACCCTGGCATCCTCTGTTCCTTTGCTCCAGGCTTTGCAGAGCATCGGAAACCTGGGCCAGCAGCTGGGCCAGGGCAAGGAGCTGTGGATGGCCCCCCTGCACCCCTTCCTGCTGCAGAGCATCTCACGTGTGAGAGACTTCCTGGACCAGCTGGTGGACGTGAATGGGGAGGAGGGTGAGTTCCTATAGCCCTGCCGTATCTGGCTTGTCACTCCACTGGACCCTGGGGACCTGTCCTTCCACCACCCCTTCCCCATTGCTGGGCACTGAGACTGTGGACCTGTGGGTCGGCTAGTCATTCAGCTAACGTTTCCTGGCACCTACTCTGCCCTTCTAGCCAACATGGAGATGTGGGTGGGGCTTGTGGCATGGTGTTCATGCAACTGACAGATATCTATTCAGTGCCTACTATGTAAGAGACACCGTTCCAGGTGCTGGGGAAACAGCAGCGAACAAAGAAGAAACTCCTGCTCTTATGGAAGTTTTATTCTAGTGGAGACAACAGGGTGTAAACAAGATGAATTAGCAAATCATCTGGTATGTTAGGGAGTGATAAGTGCTAAGGAGAAAAAATAAAGGAAGGAAGGGAATGTTGGGGTGGTGGTGGCAGGTCAAATTTTTAGGGTGGCCAGGAGTGGCCTCACTAGGGTGATATTAAAGACCTGAAAGAGGACAGAGAGCAAGCCATGAGGATCCTGGGGAAGTGTCCCAGGCTGGGCATAGCATGTGCAAAGGCCCTGAGGTGGGGCCAGAGATCAACAGTGAGAAGGCCAGTGAAGAAGAGTGAGTGAGGGGGAGTGAAGGAGAGATGAGGGGGCCAGACTGTGTGGGGCTTTGTAGGCAGCTGGAAGGATTTGGCTTCGACTTGGAGTGAAATGGAGCCACAGGACAGCTTTAAGCAAAGGAGTTGGGATTCAGTCCAGTGTGGGGCTCAGGTCATGAGCTAGTTGGATCCAAGTCACAGAGGAGCAACCTGTGGAAATGTGGAGTCCTGGTTGTGGCTGGCAGGGTCCCTGTTTTGCTGGGGAGGAGCCTGTGTCTGGGCTCCAGGGATGGGTAGATCCCAGGCACTCCCCTAGACTGACTCCATAAGGTGTGGCTCCCCCTGCTGGCTGCCTGCGCCACTGCCTGCAGATCCCTCAGGTAGGAGAGAGATCATCAAAGGCCTACTTTGTGCTCCCTGCCCCTCCCTCCATGGTGCCATTCCCTATGGAGGCTTCACCCTCCTGGCTGTAGGGGAGCAGAGAATCCTGCTTATCCCTGAGGCCTGGGCATGCCCCCAGGGCAGGTCGAGCCTGGACAGCAGGGTTCACTGTCCCCCCTCCCCATTTCGCAGAGGCTGGGGGCCCGGCTAGGGCCCTGGTCCCATCCTCCGTGACTGTGCGAGAAGGCTACCTGCTGAAACGCAAGGAGGAGCCTGCCAGCCTGGCCACACGCTTTGCCTTCAAGAAGCGTTACTTCTGGCTCAGCGGGGAGACGCTGTCCTACTCCAAGAGTCCTGAGTGGCAGGTGGGGCTCCAGTCCACGGTGGAGGCGTTTCCAGCGGTGGCCCCCTTCATAAACTGCCTCTTTGTATCCCTGGTGGAGACGGAGGCCCAGAATGGAGCAAGGACTTGGCCAAGGCCCCGTAGCAACTTGGCAAGTCCAAACTCTCGGGCCGGGCTCTGCTCACACCCTTGGGCCAATGTGGGCCCAGGACAGGCACAGTCGTACACTTACACACACACACCGTCAAACGCCCTTCAGAGCGTGCGTGCCGAGTGGCCCGGACATACCCCCGAGGCGTGGCCACGCACAGGACACGGACAACACTTACATCCTGTCATCTGTTCCCATCCAGGCCTATGCCCACATGCCATCCCATTGGATCTGCTCCCTCAGAGGTGCCTGCCTGGCTGTTAGGCATTCATTCATTCACCCATTCATTCATCAAACATATATCGAATGCCTACTGTGGACCAGGCAGTGTTCTAGGCCTGGAGATGCAGCAGGAAACAAGACAGAGAATCCCTATTCTCCTGGGACTGCCAGGCATGCTTAGCACAAGCCCAGACACAGACTGGGACCAACTTGCTTCTGTGTATGCACCAGAAATTGTTAACAGCCAACACTGGAGAGGGCGCCCGCGCTTATTATTTCTACTTTGTCAGCAGAGCGTAGATTCTAGTGTTCAGCTGCCTGGGTTCCGATTCTGGCTTCACCAGTTGAGTGACCTCGGGAGGGTCATTTGTCCTCTTGTGCCTCAGTTTGTTCATCTGCAAATTGGGAATAATAGACCAAGCCTCAGAAATTTGTTGGGATGATGACATAAGTTGGTAAATGTGAAATGCTTTGAGCCACATCCCAAGTGCCATGTCAGTGGTTATGGTGGTGATGATGATGATGATGAGGATGACAACTATGATGGTGGTGGGAGTGGAAACTGATGCCCAGAGAAGCTGTCACTTAAAGAGCGATGGGGCAGGACTGCGGGACTTATGGACCAGCCCAGTGGACTTGCACAGAGATCACAGATGCACAGGGTTGAATGTCCCCTCCCCCGGGGACACCACCTGATGCACACACCCACAGGAAGGATGTCCCTGGGCCCCACACCCTGGCCCCAGCCCCCAGGCCGCGCTGCAGTGACAGTCCTCTTTCCCAGATGGGCTCCTCCATCCCGGTGTCGCACATCCGTGCGGTGGAGCGTGTGGACGAGGGCGCCTTTCAGCTGCCGCATGTGATGCAGGTGGTGACGCAGGATGACGCAGGGACACTGCACACCACCTACCTCCAGTGCAAGGTGAAGCCCTGCCAGGGTCGGGGGTGGGGGCTGAGGACGTCCCTTGGGCCCCACCCCCACCCCTGACCGCCTCCCACTCTCTGCAGAATGTGAATGAGTTGAACCAATGGCTGTCGGCCTTGCGCAAGGCCAGTGCCCCCAACCCCAACAAGCTGGCCTCCTGCCACCCCGGTGCCTTCCGCAGTGCCCGCTGGACCTGCTGCCTTCAGGCTGATCGCTCAGGTGAGGGGGCAGGGCGGGCTCAGGCTCCACCCTCCCCACCTGTCAATCAGCGGGTAACCCACCTGGGTCTGGGTCAAGTTACTGAACCTCTTTATACCTCAGTCTGCTCACGTGTGAAAAGGGGTTAATAACAGCGCCTACCTCCCAGGGTTGTTGTGAGGAATAAATCAGTCGACATAGGCAAACTGCTTAGAACACTGCCTAACATAGTGCTCATTAAGTGTGAGGTATGATTTTGTAAGCACTCACTATGCACCAAGCGCCTAGTGGTACACAGATGGGCATCAGGCTTGCTCTCAAGGAAGACAAGTGAATAACCAGACAATTGTAATACAACTTCCCAAGTGCCAAGAGGAGGCTTCTGAGACTCCAGAGAATGCCTTTGACCCAACCCCAGGGGAGGAGATCAAGGAGGGCTCCCTGGAGGAGGTGCTGCTTAAATGCAACCTAAGAAGAGTAGGATTTGGGTGGTAAAGTTGGAGACGGGGACGGGGTAAGGAAGAGGGTTGCAGGCAGAACAAACGGCGCGATTGGAGCTCGAGAGGGCCTGGATAGGAGATCGAGAGGGCGGAAGGACTGAAAAGGGTCAGTGTGGTGGACAGTGGGAGGTGGCTGGAGAAAGGTGAGGCCACTGCTCTGTTGGGTGAGGTGGAGGCGGTAGGGCTTGAAGGAAGTAGAAGGTTTGAAGAGTGATTTTAGAGGTAGACGGCAGGGTTTGGGGACAACCTGCCACGGAGGCTTCCAGAAGGGGAATGGGAGGGGTGACCGATGACGCTCTGCCCCTCAGCTGCAGGCTGCAGCCGCACACACTTTGCCGTCACCCTGGGAGACTGGAGTGACCCTCTGGATCCTGATGCTGAGACCCAGATGGTGTATCGGCAGCTGCTCCTGGGGCGGGACCAGCTCAGGTGGGTGCCCTGCCCATCCCACTTCACCCCCTATGACCAGCTGGGTTGGCCAGCTACCCACCGTGGCCTCTGCTGTTCATTTGGTCATTCTCTCCGTGTGCATCAGCTGAGCTTGTGGGGGGCGGGGGACGAGCTCATGGCGAGGACGGGAAGCACCCTCGGGCGGGCCCTAAGGCACAACTGAATCTTGGCATCTTTTAATACCTGGGGCACCAGAGATACAGGCACAGACCTTGGATGTGTCCCTTCTCCTTCCTGGCCTCAGGGTCACTGTTATTCAGTGACAGAGATGTATTCCAACCAGCAAAGACTCTCTGGGGTAGAGACCAAGACTGGGAATCAGGCACCAGCCTTGTCTTGCTCCCTGTCAACTTCCAGGATCAAATTTCTGGAGGACTTCAACATGGATTCAAGTCCGGAGGCAGACCCAGGGGAGGGCTCCGGTGCCACAGAAGGTAAAGGGTTAAGGAGGTCCCTTTCCTTGGCCTCCTCTGCCACTTCCTGCAATTTGCCAAGCACATCCCTGTGTCATCCTAGTTTCTAAGCCACCTGTTTCTAAGCCACCAACAGGCTTTGGGGGCTGCGTGTGCAGGCTCTGGTACCTTTTAGGATTCCCAGGGCACAGGGCAAACCTGGAGCCCGAGACAGCCATGGGGTGTGGGTTGTGGCAGCCTGCCCTGGCCTGGCTGAGGCCCCTCGAACCCCTTGTCTTTCTCCCAGGGGCCTGTCCTGATGCCCTGGCCCGGCAGAGAGAGGCAGCTGCCCACCTGCTGGAGGTGCTTGCAGACCTGGATCGAGCCCACGAGGAGTTCCTGCAGCAGGAGCAGGGGAAGGTGGTCCCGAGTCCCCTTAGGCCCTGAGGAGATGCTGGAGCCAGCCTGGAAGGAGGACTAGGGAGCCGCTGGG